AATAACTTCGTGGCCACCCTAAGGTTATAGAGCTGGGATTATATCTGTTGGCACTATTGCATTCAAATATAACAAATGCAAGCCCTGTTAATAAGTAAACAATGCTGAAAAAAATCCCAAGTTTACTTTGCCACATATGTCAATTAAAATTAGATGCACGTAAAAGTATATGAAGAAACAGATATTACAATGTTAATGCCCTCACAGAGCTATAGTGCTTACAGCTTACACTCGGTAAAGGATATATACTTCCATGAAATACAATAAATAGTAATAGTAGTAGCAGTATATCCTCGGTCATTTCCTGGCTCTTAATTGCGCTGCTCTTTACTTTCTCGTGTTACCACTCGATATTATTCTATTACTTTTTAAATTTCGCATACAGATAATCATACTTATGTTTTACATTTTTTTAATGATTCCAACACATACTGTATCGTAAAAACCTAATAATTTTTATATTAGTTTGCGTAAAAGATAACGATACTTTTTTCTAATTCTACACCACTTGGGGTGAATTCCAATGAATGGTGTTCGCAACCATTAATATACTATGTAGCCATGTATTTTCTAATTAGCATGACAGAACTCTTAAGTATTCCAAATACAATATTATTATCACTGCGTCCATTCATTAAGGGTAATCGTCAAAACAAGCCATTGATTGTTTCAAATACACCTGAAGTTCTACACGTAAAAAAAATAGCCATACTGATCATGAATAGGAAAGGTTCTAATTTCTCTAAAATGAATGATGTGCAATTTCAGCTGGTTAATGATAATCTAAATGGTTTGCCTTTAATTATTTTCTTTGCCGCGAAAACAAATAATATAGGTAAAATCTGGCAGTCTACATTTTTTTTTTTTTTACAAATACAGAATGCAAGTGTAAGGCTGGCAGAATGCAGCACGATCGATGATAGTAATATTTGCTTCTTAATTTGACGGATAGCATTTCTTCTCAAATTTATAGTTTTCATTAATTTGTAATTGTGGTTCTCAGACAAGGGGAGTGGGTTAGCTGGTAGGCTTGTATCGCGTTTGATAATTAACAATACAATTAAAATTAAACTCATAATCTAAATAATAATTACTTCATTTTCAAAAACTTGAAATGACTTTTCTCTCCATAAATCACATTTGAACCGACATATGTAATCGGAAAGTTTAAATTATTGTTAGAAGTACTATATACTACTTACTGGGGAAACAAGTATAGCCGTGGCACCATACATTTACCACTGGTCATGTGCCGTTCTTCAACCTCACTTTATCTTTCACATTTTTCAGATATATTCACGATTGTATGAAGGAATATATGCATTATAAAATGCCTACATCATGAAAGACATTAAGTGTTCTTATGGTGGGCAGTTATTATTAGGAGTTGTTAACTTATGTTTTCATTTATAAGTAAATGGATGTGATCAGTTAATATTCTTACTGTGAAATAGAATTTGTGCCATACATAGTACATATAGAGCAGGGTTCTAAATATATCTACATAAACTAAACTTGCAGGTTCCTCTAGCCCTTCTTGGAGATCAAGAGCTAGCATGAAGGATGAAGAGTTAAAGGTGAAAAAGATAATTGAAGGCGTTGTAACAGCAACAAACAAACAGGCAATGTTAAAGGTAATCATTAAAGATGAAATATAATTTACATTAATGTGCACGTCAATACTAATAAACACACAAACACACACACACGCACACACACATACACATACACACATGCACATACACACACATGCACATAAACACTCACATACACACACACACACACATGCACACATATACACATGCACACATACATGCACATATACACACATGCACATACACATACACTTACACACATACATATATATATACACATACATATATACATACACATATGTGTGTGTGTATATACATATATATGTATATATATATATATATATATATATATATATATATATATATGTTTACAAATATGTCCACATAGATAATTAGATAAATATATGAATATACATAAATATATTTATACATTCATACATACACACACACACACACACACACACACACACACACACACACACACACACACACATATATATATATACACATATATATGTGTATATATATACACATACACACACACACACACATACACATACACTTACACACACACATATATATATACACATACATATATACATACACATATGTGTGTGTGTATATACATATATATATATATATATATATATATATATATATATATGATACTGCCGCGATAGCTCAGTGGTTAGAGCACTGGACTCCGACCCTCGTGGTCCCGGGTTCGATTCCCCGTCGCGGCAGTTGTAAAAAATGCCTACGCTCTGACTGCTGACTCGAGCCCGAGAAAACGATATATCGCCTTGAGAAGTCAAACGCAGTTGTCGTAGGGGAAGTCACCGCCGTGGCACAAGTGTTAACGCGCCGAACCGCGGTTGATTAGGAAGGGCATTCAATCAGGTAAGGGTGACACCGTCATATAACCTCTCAATCCTGAATTGAGAGAGGCCTATGTCCTGCAGTGGAATGAATGGCTGTTGAAAAAAAAAAAAAAAAAAAAAAAAAAAAAAAAAAAAAAAAGAATATATATATATATATATATATATGCATATCTGTCTATCTGTTTATTTATCTATCTATCTATCTATCTATCTATCTATCTATATCTATATATATATATGTAAATATATTTATACGCATGTATATGTATATATAAATATATATGTATACGTATAAATATATATGTATATATATATATATATATATATATATATATGTATAATTATGTATATGTAAAACTGTATATATATTTATACATATATACGTATGAATACACATATATATATATATATATATATGTGTATATATATATATATATATATATATAACTATGTATATATATGTATACATATATATACATAGGGTGACACCGTCATATTTATCTATCTATACATAATTGTTTTTATATAATCATATATGTATGAATGCATATATATATCAGTGAATACATATATATATAGATATATATGTATATATAAAACTATGTATATATATGTATACATATATATGTATGAATGCATATACATATGCGTGAATACATATATATAGATATATATGTATATATAAAACTATGTATATATATATATATATATATATATATATATATATGATTACATATGTCTAAGAAGTTCAGAACCTCTTGGGCAATAACAGTGGTTAAAACGGCTTGACTCTTTATTACGGAAGAGTACAACACAGTGATGGGAACACACAAGACGAGTCTTGGGTAAGCGCTGAGCATGGTCCTGCCCTCCAGCTTTGAGAGGCCAGAGGCTAGACCTGGTCACGCTGGTGGTGGAGGCACGTTTGAGAGGTCAATCAAGGTCAGATATACTTGTTATCTAAGTCCTCGCTGTGTCGATGGTTCTCTACGGGACTTCAAGCCACGTGGCAAACAGCCATGGGTTCTATGTCTAATGGCTTACACAAATCGTGTTTATGTACACGGTATATATATATATATATATATATATATGTAATTATCTATATAATTACATATATATATATATATATATATATATATATATATATATATATATGTGTGTGTGTGTGTGTGTGTGTGACTGTGTGTGTGTGACTGTGTGTGTGTGTATATATATATATATATATATATATATATATATATATATATGCACACACACACACACACACACACACACACACACACACACACACATATATATATATATATATATATATATATATGTATATGTATATATATATATATGTATATATGGTAATAGTAACCGAGAGCAACGCTACCTCCCAGAGTTTCAAAATCAGATTTTTTTGATGTTTCGTCTACCCAACAATCTTGGGGGATGTGTGGGGAATCGGAGGTTGAAGGGAGGGGATAATGAATGGCACTGGAAGTCAATAGGAACCTACAGAAATCGAAAAGTGATTTTTGAAACGTAAAAAGGCGATATTTTGAAAATCATATCCAAATTTCTGTCCTGAAAAGCACAAAAAACGATGGAAATTAGCATGTGAAACTCTACGGACGCCCCCACCATCTTTGAGATTCGACGGACCGGCGCACCTACTTTTAAAAACTCTACGGGAATCAAGCCCATTGTTCGGTAAAAATCTGCGTGTTAAAACAAATTGCATTAGCAACGGTAAAGGAACACACAGTCTATTGCCGATGATGTATACGAGTGTTACGTTGACGGATCCGTATAGTCTGGATACAAAGCTGGTTGTGCTTGTACTATATACAAAAATGGCTTACTACAACATCAAGTTAATATGAGAGTGCACAATTGGGCCAGCACCTCACAAACGGAGCTGGCAGGTATACTCCTTCAACGGAATTCTTAATGTCTCGGGGCTCTGGAGTAGTTTTGTGTGACTCTCAGAGTGCTCTTCTTTCAAAGCAGGTGGCGATGAGGAAATTGTAAGTTGCATTAAGCGTAACGTAACCTGTGCAATAGAGCACAATTTCAACATTCAATTTGTGTGGCTACCATCTCATGTTGGCATAAGCAATCACGACCACGTAGACAAATTGGCGAAGGAAGCCTGCAGTAAAGACACTGTGAGCATAGATCTTGGGATGCCTCTTGCTAGGGTTGCACATATATTGAAAAGTTCTCATAAGGAAGAACTAGTAGATATGACGAACACTCAAAGGCCTGAAAGCTGTATCATGAGGCACTACGATCAGTATAGAGATGGCAAGCCCTCCTATGGGTGGCACTGTAATCGAACCCGACAATGTGACGTGGTTATTGCCAGAATACGTTGAGGTTACAGAATGTATTGGCAACTGCACGGTGCAAGAAGTGCAGATGAATCTAAATGTAGACTGTGTAACGAAAAAAACAAGCGAACGCTTGAGCATTATATATCGAAATGTCATGTGATATAGCCTTTCAGACCACTTAACATGAGGTATAGAGA